AGCAGAACAGGCCGACTGATGAAGTCCACTGCTGAGGGGAGCAGTGAGTAGGCCAGGACAGGTCTGCTGTGCCAACCTGGGTCACCTGCCTGGCCGGGGATCGAACTCACGCTGAAGTGGCTGAGGCAAGCTTCAGAGTGCTGTACTTTAACCCATTGTGCACCAGCGAGGGCCCCGGGATGTTTGTCACCTTGCAGAATGAACCCATCCCCCTCCACCTTGCACTACGTCCTTCCCCTCCCTCACACTGGCTACCACTGCTCTCTCTGCCCCTGAGCTTGACCTCTGTGGGTACCTCTCACATGTGGAATTTGTGGGTTTGTCCTCCATGGCTTGTCTCAGTGCAACATCTCCCAGGGCCGTCTGTGTTGTTGCGTGTGTCAGCAATCCTTTTCAGGGCTACATAATATTCCACAGTGCTGCTGGACCTCGTTCCATCTACCCTCACCTGCTGATGTGAATCGTGTGGCTCTGAACTGAGGTGTCCGTATGTCTGTCTAAGACCTTGTTTTCAATCCTTTGGGTTCAAACCCAGAAGTGGGGTCACTGGGTGGGGGTAGGTTTCCTGAGGCCCCTCCACGCTGCTGTCATGCGGCTTCCTGTGTTATGTTCTCGCCGGTGCTGCGCAGGATCCTCGCCCACACTTGTTACTTTCTGCGTTTGGTTTTGGGTGAGCGTGTGACCGCCCTGGGAGTGGAGATCGCACATCACCGTGTTTCCCTGAGGACAAGTACCTCCCTCTCTTTGGCAATCTATGGCAAGGAAACAGTGAAGCACTGCACGATAGACCACGAGAACAGTGAGCCCTTTCCCCAGAAATAACCCCCTTCAGGGAGCCCAGGGCCTCTCGATGGTCCCGTGCGCTCCTACTGCCCTGTGTCACCAACTGACCTGTGATGAGCCTGGCCTGGCCTCTGGGACCCGGGGAGCCACAGGACCTGGAGCACGAGCCTCCCATTCGTCGTGTGTCTCAGCGCCCCCCCATATCCCTTCGCCAGAGCTGGCTTCTCACCACCCACTGCCCCACTGCGCCCCTCCCCCACATGTGTATGTACCAGTCCACCCTGCCCACCAGCTCCTGCACCCCAGGACAGCTTAGGTGGCCCCAGACACCTAAGTGCTAAGTGATGGATATTCAGGCCAATCCCAAACACTGGCCAGGGACGCACCCTGTCCCCCTTCCCAGCTCCTATCTCTTCAGTAGGACTCGGCACTGCAGCTGGCCCCCGAGTCCTTGAGCTGCCCCGACAGTGACCGCAGCACACCCTGTGTACTATCCTGGCCGCTCCTGTGTCCAACATGAGACATGAAAAAGGAGGTGCTGTCAGGCCGGGGCCCGCCAGCCCACCCCAGCAGAGCAGGGCTCCCCAAGTGAACACGGGGCTGTCCTACCTCCTGCCATGCTCCTGAGTTTCCCGTACCCAAAAGGCTGCTGAGGTGGAAGAGCTGGCTCAGTGTCTGCCTTCTGCCAAGGAGGACGCAGCCACTGCAGAGTGACAGACTCCCGACTCTCCCCAGCCCAGGGAGGTGGCACAGGCTGGCGCCCCCAGGAGCCAAGGGCTGCCCTGGCTGAGGCAGGGCTGCTCTCATCAGGAGAGAGGCCTGCAGGCACCCCTGCATGCACATAACCCATGCATGTACACACATGCACGCA